CAAATGAAAACAAAAATAAACTTAGATAAGCAAAATAAAATTTCATTCAGATATTTTTGTAGCAGTCTCATACTTAAAATCCTTGTAAATAGTAAACTAATATGTAAAAAATATGTTCTAAGTTCTACATGTAAAATAAATTTCTAAATGAGTCAGAAGAGATAGAAAGATTATGAAAAAAAGAAAGAAAAAAAAAAATTCATGCACTGAAATTATATTACACACCATTTTGCATGGCAGTGGATCTGTCTTCCACCCTGGAGATGTAGCAGCAAAGTTCATCCTGCCGCTCAGAATTCTCAATGAGCTCTGCCTCCACACTGAAGCCCCACATGTGATCAAGTGAGGAGCGAGACAACTCCACCTGGTACAGGATCTTGGCGCAGATCTCAACTACTTCATGAGTTGCCAACTATAGAGAAACAACATTTGTGTAATACCTGGTGTGTAGACACCAATGTCTGCAAAGTGGCATGCATGTGACTGAATCTTCCATAAACACATTTGTATATGCCTCCATGAGAGACCAAAGGAGAAAATAAGCACAAGATCCCTAAAAGATTTCCTTTAAATATTCCAAACAAACTACAAATTGCAAATCAACTTTCATTAATATTATCTTCATGACCATACACATAGGAAAATGCCTATCAAATAATCAAACAAAAGACAAAAACAATTGCCATCATACATAGTTCTCTATGAGGTCTGTACGATGAGGGACGAAATAGTTGGTTTCCTCCAACTCACGACGTTTCTTGACTCTCACAAAGTGTTCCATTGGGTTAAGGTTCTTCCTGCCACTTGCTGCTACCAGGAATTCCTCCACAGTCATGGAGTCTTTTATGCTAATGGTCACAGTCTGCAAGATAAGATGCAAATATTAGAATGGTCTCAATAGCTATGCCACAGCTGTACTAGTTTTATTACAGAATAAGAATTTTGTTCAATATGTATGAACGAAACAAGGACTGGAGTAATAAAGGTAACAAGAAATTCAGTGGAAATTACTGTTTAGATTCACTGCAAATAAAATTGAAAAAAAGTAACTGCTTTTCAGAAACAACTTGGATAAAACAAACGAACCTGATTATCTGGAAGGTTGACTTTGTATTGCTTTTCACCTTCAAGTTGCTGTTGCATCTGTAAGGATCTTCGTGATGACACACTGTTGCTCCGTGATAACATGGGTGCCCTAAAATAATGTGAATATTAAATAGCTAGATTATATACACAACTTACAAAAATTAATTAATCTATAATGAAGGCAAAAATGATTTTAAAAATCCCTTTACATGACTTTTAATTATATACATACTGCACAGCATTCTCCAAACAGTTCCTATTGAAGAAAAAATTAAATAAAATTAGGAACGTACAGCAAATGTCCTAACATTTAATCCTTCTAATGATATCTAAATTTTACATTTCAAACTGGCAGCTTTCTTTTAAAGGTTTGTTATCATTGTTCTCCTTATCCATGAACACTCCTTAACAATACACAATATACTCACAAATGACAAGTAGCAGACTATATAATGGCAATAAATACCTGCGTTTAGTTGCTCCTCTGCCTGCAAGGAGGTTGTTGAGCAGGGAAGGACTGCGGGCACAGATGTATGCATGGAAGCTGCTCACTGTGAATACACCTAGACGATTCAGAGTTGTCTTGGTTGTGCGTGACACATGAGTCAGGAGACCCTGGAAAATTTTTAAGAAAGATGGTAAAATTATTTTCTAACAATTATAATAATAAATGACAGTCACCATATAAGATATTTTTTTTAGCATTAGCTCTGTATCTGCACAGATGATATGAATATACTAAATAAACTGCTTTACATTATAAATGAACATTATTTTATGGAAAGTATGTTGATTTTAACGTTATTCTTAACATGAGTATATAGCTCTTGCGACATCTGTGGAAGACTTTTTTTCTGAACAATGACTGGCAAAAGAGGTTAACATGATTTAAAATAATAAAACATAATGCTGTTTGTGATATGCCATCCAAAGAAGTTTGTTTTAAGTTCATTTGATATCTTCTTTAAAATTTTCCTGTTAACTTTGCTAATCATGTTGGCGGTTTTAATCCACTTAGAAGCTACCTTGTTTTTGCGCGGAAGAAAAGTTTTACCTTTGGATTTGGCAGTTCTCCTGCTTGTAGAGATGCCATGTAGCACCGCAGGCGGAATTGTTCACAATGTAGACGTTCTAGGTTCTCCTCCCACTGCTTGATCTGCCCCATAATCTGCTGTTTGCTCTCAGCGTCAGACACCACTGACAGCTGCAACTCAGCCATGTGCTTCAGCTTTGAGTCCTTAGGGATAAAGATAAGGTAGTTAAAAAATGAACTTGTACAGATTTTGGGAATACCTGTTGAAAGGTAACAAATAAGAAGTAACCTTTTGAATATATATCTTACCAATATATTCTTAATAAAGAGAAAAAATATAATCAAATTTATAATTTCTTTTATCTAGCTCAGGAATACAATATATGTGTGCCATTATACCACCACACAAGTGCATTATTCTTCCAACACTGACATTAATAATATATCTCCAAAAGTGAGGTTTAACTTATGTTGAACTCACACACATCTGAACATTAACACTCTCTCTCTCTCTCTCTCTCTCTCTCTCTCTCTCTCTCTCTCTCTCTCTCGCGCACACACACACACACACACACACACACACACACACACACACACACACACACACACACACACACACACACACACACACACACGCACACAAACACACAAACACACCAGCAGGCACATTACATGAACACAGACACACACACACACACACACACACATACATGTATACATGTACACACACAAACACACACACACACACACACACACACACACACACACACACACACACACACACACACACACACACACACACACACACACACACACACACACACCAGCAGGCAAATTACATGAACACAGACGCTTTCCCTGACACAGCATAAAAAAAGAAACAAGAACAAAAAGAATAAAGGAAACGACTTCCTTGTGAATGCGCTTGAGACTTCTAAAGGCTCTAAGTAATTTCCTCGTGGATACTTGAAGAGCCCTAAAGGAAGTCAAATTGGTGATCAAGTCAGTGGATATCCCTGGATCCCGGAAAGATTTCTTGGAAGTTTGTGTAATTACCTTCTGAAACTGTTCCAAATACTTTACGCCCAGTATAGTCACATACAAATCGACTTTTTTCCTGCAGTAGGACAGTCTGCCTGGTCTCCCATCGTCTCCCATCAAAGAGGAAGATCGCCTCGCGGTCCTCACTCTTATGAGAGGTTCTCTTGCTGGGCCTCCGGACCTGCTTCACACCCAAATTTATTCAAATTAAAACTTTTCTTGAAGGGCCCCGAAAATATCCACGTGAAGATTTCGGGCCTTTTCTCGAAATACATGCAGGTGTCTAAAAGAGTTTTAAAAGCCTGCATGCGGCATTCAACTTTCGAACGGCGGAAAACCGATCGAGACAGACGTTCTCTTGTGGCACCAAAGGCGTTCCCGCAAGTAGTACTTCAAAGACTGGAGACGGCACTTGGTCCTCCCTATGAGCATGGGCATCCTCAGGAGCAAATCCTGGCCCTAGTGTGGGTGTCTGGGCCATTATCACTCAGGCTCCTCAGCTTTAAGCACTCCAGAGAGACATAAGGTGAGTTAGGTCAGGCCCTCCAGACGCCCGGGTGACAATAGTGGAGGGAAGCATTCCAGAATTAGATTGGAATGTAATTTGGGGCTTATACAACATTCCTCACTGAGCTAATTCACGCCATGCCATTGTGCATGACACCCTTTGTTCTTACATGACATATCTCTTCAAACTTAACAATGAAAAATGGCTGGTGAACAATCATTACTTCTGATTATAGGATGCATCGCCCGATGAACGCGCTGCAATCGGGAGTGCAAATCACTAGTTAACAAAGGCGTGCGGATCTTCAGGAGGATAATGATTCCAGAATACAATAATTATTCACCTCATCAATGTCTAGAAAGAGGCACTATGGTCCCGGAGCATTGTTCGTTGTTGGGAAGCATGACAAAGGCACAGCGGATCGCGGCGCCAACATCATCGTATCATCAACATACGGGCTCAGTGGACCAGGAGGATGACAAGCGGGAACGGAGTTTATTCCATGCACATCGGGCTCGTTCACTGCTGTTTCTCTCAGTCCGTTTTTGTACGAAATTTTGTAATTTGTAACTACCAATGTCATTATAGTGAAACAACGAAAGCCCCATGTATGTTCAGATTTCACGGGTTGTAAACACTGATGGCAACCCGTTATTTTTCCTATGGATGGCTTATGAACAAAATTATAGATATATACTGCACATACTCACAGGCATGCACACACGCGCGCGCACACACACACACACACACACACACACACACACACACACACACACACACACACACACACACACACACACACACACACACACGCACACACACGCACACACACGCACACACAACGCATACACACACACACACACACACACACACACACACACACACACACACACACACACACACACACACACACACACACACACACACACACACACACACACACACACACGCACACGCATACACACTCAAAACGTAAACTTACATCCCACCACACTGCATAAAACGACTAGACAGTGTCAATAAAAAGCGAAGCCCTGAAAGCAAAACTATATGCACCTGTTTGTTTATATCAACGCTACAATTACCAGAGTTAGCGCAAGGGATCTTTCATAAGTCAGAACCGCCGAAACCACACAACCCTCGACTGCACTAATTAAGACCGAGCGAACAAAGCTATTAAAAAAAAGGAGGAGAAGAAAAGCAATAAAAGAGTGAAAAGAAGAAATCTTGATAATTGAATTCGCTTCCAAGAACGTAAGAGACTGCGAGCTGTTCGCCGGTGATTAGTTTATATATTCCGACGTCGGTGGATGGACCAAGAAAGAACACGAAGGAGCGCTTTATTCTCTTTCTCTTTCTCAGTGATAATTTACAGTCCTAAAATCACCTTAGTTCTATGAAAATTCATTTCTTCCTACCGAGGCAATACGTATTCTTTTCCCTAACGTAGCTCTATCAATTTTTTTTTCTCTACCGTAGCTAAATGTAAAATCGGTTCTTTCTACTGTAGATTATAAAAAAATACTTGTTCGGTCGTAGCTCTATCTACATTTTTCTAACGTAGTTCTGCCTAAAATCACTTTCCTAACATAGCTCTATCAAAAATTACCCCTTTCCAGCGTAGTTTTATCAAACCACTTCTTCCTACCGTAGTCCAACCTAAAATCACTTCTTCCTCCGTAGCTCTATCTACAATATTTTGTCTTACTTCAGCTTTATCTAAACCCACTTTTCTCTACCGTTGCTCTATCAGAGATAATCTTTTTCTAATGTAGTTCTACCTAAAAATAATCCAAACGTAACTCTATAAAAACTACCTATCGTAGCTCTATATAATATAATTTCTTCTGACCACAACTCTATCTATAATAACTTTTTCCAATCGTAGCTTTACGTAAAATCCCTTCTTCCTACCGTGATTCTATTTAAGATTTCTTCTTACAACCGCAGCTCTGTCTAAAATCATGAAATAAAACACATAACAATGGCGAACCAGTTACTATGATCATTAACAGTTATTTTGGCCGTTGAAAAGTATTTTATTTGTCACTAAACTGTCACTGTCTCTGCCGAAAAAAGCTGTTAACTAGTCCTGTATCTTTTACCAAATGATTACTGTATCTCTTACTAGACTGTATCTGTATCTGTTACAAAATGCCACGGCATCTGTTAGTAAAATACAACAAACTGTTACAGCATTCTCCCAAACGAAACCTGGAAATAGTTCTATCTCGGCCCAGATAAATTATGGCTTCAAAATGTGATTCTTTAGCCGGGCTTTGTGTACAGCAAGTGTGTACGGCTATTCTCCCCTCTCCTCGCCCAACTTTTAGGCCAGTGAGGATATAAAATGGGGAAAAGGTAATTTGGGGGAAAGAAATATCCCTCATTTTTTTACGGGCGAGGAACTTATTTTAGTTATCTAGTCTTGGTGAACAAACAGGGATTCAAATTCGAGATCAAGACCTGAAACAATAAAAACACATGTGTATCTATGTCGACCTATATGTATATGTATATATACATGAACACACACACACACACACACACACACACACACACACACACACACACACACACACACACACACACACACACACACACACACACACAAACATACAAACACAAACACACACACACAAACATACAAACACAAACACACACACACAATATATATATATATATATATATATATATATATATATATATATATATATATACACATATACATATACATATAAAAACATATACACATACACATATATACATACAAATACATATATACATATATATATATATATATATATATATATATATATATATATATAATATATATATATATATATATATATATATATATATATATATATATATATACATGTGTGTGTGTGTGTGTGTGTGTGTGTGTGTATTTATACACATATACATACATATACATGCGCACGCACGCACGCACACACGCGCGCGCCCACACACACACACACACACACACACACACACACACACACACACACACACACACACACACACACACACACACACACACACACACACACACACACACACACACGTGTCATAACACTGAGAGACAGTACAAAAATCTCTATATATTTCCAACACTGAAATTCGCGGTTCCATTCCTGAAATCACATGATAAAATGAAATTCCTATTGGTTGACATATCATATTAAGGGACAAGTTATGAAGGGCTTGCAAATATGCGAAGTATATTATTAACGCAAAGGAAAGGTTACACCGCAACGTTATCGCAGGCAAATATAAAATGCAAAACCATTTCAAGTGGGCAAATTGGGTCGGGAATATAAAACGAATTATGAATAAATCATCAGTGCTCTCGCCGTACAGTTTTGCAAAATAAAAGTGATCGGTCCCCCCCCCCCTCTCCAATCCCACCGTGACTTCACCACCCCTCCCCTCCATCCGTTAACCCCCCCCCCCTCACCCCCCTCCATCCCTTCTAAACTCTCCATATTTTTTTTTTCACCTTTAAAAAAATCGGCAGACGCCATCCCCGCGAGAGTGCAAAGTTTATTTATATCTCATTAACCCAAGCTAATTCTTCTCCTGCTTCGGTTTTCCTTCTTCGTTAACGTCTTGAGATTTTCTCGTCCCGTGCGTTTCATGTCGCTGTATATGTTTTCTTGTTTTCTTTGATATTTTTGTTATTGTTTAAAATTTCCGTCGCCGCCTTCGTCTCTGGCTTTCATCGTCATTCCTCCTCCTCTTCCTCATCTTCGTTAGCTTCTCGTCCTTTCTCCTTTGTTCCTTCGCATTCTTCCTTTACGGTTTCCTTTCCCTCATCCATTTTCTT